AACAACTTTATTCAACAATTCGTCTCCTCTGTGTCTCTCTGCATCACCGTAGTGCGATTTTGGAGAATATCCGCTGGACGCAGGCAGCGTACGCTATTCTGTGTCAGCCGCGCTGCACGGATGCGCTGTTTTCTTTTAAATCAAAGCGTAAATACACGCAGAAAACGTATCCTTGTGTCGCGGCTGACACAGAAGAGCGTACGCAGTTTGCGTTCAGCGCATATTCTCCAAAATGGCGCTATGGTGATGTGGAGAGACACAGAGGAGACGAATTGTTGTTATTTTTGTTTTCTTCGTGTACAAAAAGTATTCTCGTCGCTTCATAACGTTACGGTTGAACCACTGATGGCAGATGGACTATTCTGACGATGTCTTTCATACTTTTCTGGACCTTGACAGTGTAATTTATTTGGCAGTCAATGGGACAGTCACAAGCCTCCCGGTTTTCATCCAAAATATCTTAAATTGTGTTCCGAAGACGAGCAAAGCTTTTACGGGTTTGGAACAACATGGGGGTAAGTGATCAATGACACAATTTTCATTTTGGGGGGATATCCCTTTAAGACTTGTATTCTAAATTTCCTGGTTTGTGCCTGATGAAGACCTGATGGTCAAACCATTTTATCATCAAAGCATTGTGTTACTTGGACTTATGAGGAACTTCCAAAGGTGTAATGGTATTTAGTTAATGATATTATTGATAATTAATTTTTTCTGTCCCCTAACTCTAAATATAAGCCTCACAGAAAACATTTAGCATTTTTACAGTTTTTGAACTGTACTTAACTTTTATGTTTATTTGTCCATTTGAATCATAGGGACAGATGTTTAGGGATGTCCTCATTATGCAGGTACACAGACCTGAAACCTGAATGCAGACAACATTATGAGAACACAAGCCAAACCCTCATAATCGAGGCCAAACCAGTACACACACTGTAACATTAATTTGTACTTTGCAAAGTATTGTTGGCCTGGTCTGCAAATCTGAGCATTTTCATTGATGTGTCTTGCCTTGATTTTGGATTATCTGACTTGTTACATTTACTCTCTTGGATTTGTCTTTTTGAATTTGGTTGACTGATTGGACTGTTTTCTTGGTGTTTGACCCTGAACTGTGTTGCTTGGGTTTAGACTACAAATAAATCTCTGCACATGAATCCCTCTGCTTTCCCTGAGTCTGCTATGTTACACACACACACACACACACACACACACACACACTTAAGGTGAATAAGTCTAATTTCTCATTATATCTCATAATTTCTCATCATCAGATCTAGTTTTGACTCTGATTCAAAAAGTTTAATCCCCTAATCAATCTCTAGGAGATAACTGGCCTTATTCTGCATCTTGAACATTATGAATGATTTTGCCCCACTCAGACTCAGCCATGCTATAGTAATAATACTCAGTCACACTTCATTTTAAGGTCCAGTTCTCACTATTAACTAACTATTAACTACGATTTTGCCTTAATAAACTCCTAATTACTGCTTATTAATAGTTAATAAGGTAGTTGTTAAGTGTAGGTATAGGGTAGGATTAAGGATGTAGAATATGGTCATGCAGAATATGTGCTTAATAAGTACTAATAAACAGCCAATATGTTAATAATAGGCATGCTAATAAGCAACTAGTTAATAGTGAGAACTGGTCCCATATACTAAAGTGTTACTGAATGATCTTAGGAAAGTCTGCAGAAACACTGAACACGTGTAGAAACTGCAAATCTCCTATAAAAAGTTAGGAGATTCTCTCAGTAATTAGCAGCATGTGGTAAAAGCTGCAGGAACATAATATTTCTCAGATTGAATTAATAGAAATGCACATTGCCAAAAGTTCTGTTTAGTACCATTAGCAAGGTGCAACAACCTTTTACACCTCTTATTTAGAGCCGTTCACAGCACAGAGGCTGCCGTGTTAAAAGTGTAAATTATTTATTAGCAGTTGATGAATCTGGGCTCTCTGTACTTTTAATAGCGTTAGAGGATCTCATATTCTACATTGTTGATCACCAATGAGATCACCAGTAATCCTACAGTTCTGGTGGCTTAATAGCTCTTTATTGTTTATAGCTACACATGAGTTGGTGGAAGTCCCCAATAATTCAACTTCTGGAAACCACCAAATTAAAAGGAAATATTTGTTTCTCATGAGGTCTGAACCAGTAGGTGTTAGTTGTTATATCAATCTGTAACCTCTTGTGGAACACAAAGTGTTTAAATCCAGTATTACTGGAAAAGCAAGCATTTCTTCAGACATGATTACAACAGGCTCTACCCAGTTACGGTTATGCACATGGACTTCCATCACGGTCCATCCCAGGGGTTGTACATCTGTCAAGTATAATGGTCCTTCTTCTCATCTTTGTCATCAGTCATCAGTGATTTCTGGGTTCCAAGCCAGTACCTATGGAGGGAATGAGACATACAGTATATGCAAAATCTCTTATGCTTTAATTTTTTCCTTGAACTCAGTTATGAAATCTCTTGGCCAATCCATCAACATAGCTGGTAAGAAGCTGGTCTGAAGCTCTGCCCATGTCGAAATGGAATATCTGGCTATATCCCACCAATCACAGGCAGTACCAGCACAGGGCCGGTTCTGGACATTTGGAAACCCTATACAAAATTTATGTTGGAGCCCACCCCCGCACCCCTCCTCTCCTCCACCACCTTCAAGAATAAATAAAAAGCACTTGTAACAAATATGAGTCCTTATAGATTATAAGCCCTGACTTACATCACTTACATTCGTTTTAGTAACAGTATTCTAGTTCCTTTCAATAAAATGATCATAATAATTAATAACTGTGCATTTGAATTTAACAAGCACTGATTAGCACTGATTTCAATTAAAAGATACTGTTGACAAACATATGATGAGAAAAATATATCACATGTCCTGAGAAACTTGTATGACTTCCCATGGAACTAAAGAGTTAACAAAATGGAAATGCATGGTGAATGATAGGGGTGCTCCGATCAGGATTTTTGAGGCCGATCACCGATCGCCGATCACAGAAAGCAGTATCTGCCGATACCGATTACCGATACTGATGTTTTTAAAGCCTTCTTTTTATAATTTATACCTATTTATAGTAATACTCCAATCAGGATTTTTAGACATTTATTCAGGGCCAGAATTTCATTTTTGAAAATGGGGGGAATTCCCCTCTTAGGTGTCTCTTGTGAGAGGAGAAGCAGTTTTTACACAGGAGTCCACTACTGATCCGTGTTTACCACAAACACAACATTTATCCATTAGTTTGATTTCAAATTCAAACACTGTCACTGAAAATGCCTTTTCAGCATTGCAATTCTTTGTTTTACACAGTACAGTAATACAATCTTTCACAGAAATGTTTAAACACAATAAATATAAGCAACACATTATTCAATGCTTTTTACTTTTGCATTTACTTCTAGATTTATATATTAAGTTGCTCAAGCAAGTGGCAAAACATTTAAACTACTTTTCTTACGTTATCACAAACTTAC